AAAAAAAAAAAAAAAAGATAACAGTACAATAACCTGGGGGAAAGAAAGAAATAGTTGGGGGATGTGACTCTGGAAGTAAGTCTGAGGCCTAGTGTCAGTCATTCTCAGGTCAGGCCCTCACCTCCTAAAGCCTTCAGAGGTTGGGCGAAATATTTAGGCTGCCTACCTTAAAACTTCCTCCTCTTCCATAATTGACAAATGTTATCAAAGGTGAACAGAAGACCCACAGAGTGAGAGCAAGAGAGAACCTCGGTGGGAACTTGGTTGCTTCTCACACGTTATCTGACACGCTCACATCTGAAGGCTGCAGAGGGGGTGTCCCAAGCCCAGGGGTCCTCAGCAGAGGACACTCTGTGTCATGTACACGACAGAGGAATGATTCCCTTCGCCAGTTTAAATGCAATCTGATAAAAGTAGCTTCTCCAGATCACTGACGTGGTACTAAATGGCTTTCAGAGAATTGGACTTAGAGGGCTCATGGAGAGACAATCCAGTAGATTTCCCTACAGGTACACAAGATAGATTTCAAAGTAAAGGGCTGCTGAATTCCTAGAGGCATCATCTTTTGAATGAGGTTCAAAAGGGAAGTGTTCGTGTTGGGGCTAAAAGGCCTAATACTGGCTAATGTCCACAGCAGGGCAGAGCAATTAGCAAATCTAGGAAATTGCTCTCATTTATGCCTACGAATAATATAGGTGATGTTTGTGCATCAAGTTCTTCATGCTTCGATAAATTCATGTTTATTAATAAACATAAATGTATCTTTGTAAATAAATAAAAATACCTGCCCTCAGAGAGGAGAAGCAATAGTTTGGCTTTGTAGTGTTGGTGGTAGAAAAATATTTAGGAGCTTGTTTGGATAAATACCTTCATTTTTCTTGATGCAACAAGTTTTTTTGGCATTGAGTATGTACTGCAAATAATAGTTATGTGGCCTGGGCGCAAGTTACAGAGAAATGGGAAAGAGCCAGTACTCCTATGCTGTGTAATAACCTACCGGGAAGAAAAACAAGCATGGACAGAGGACAGGTGCAAGCTGCATGGGACTGTGCTTGGCACTTTGGCTTTTAAAAATGTCAAGTAACGATCGTAGGTTGGAAGTAACACTACTGAGAATGTGTTGTATAAAGAAAGGTAAATGGATAGTTTCCTAGTTAATTTAATAAACACATAACGTGGTGGTTAAAACGGAAATGTATTTTGTTTCTCATCCAATTCATTCGTTTAGAGGTCCTTGGTGATTTCTAGCTTTTTGCCTTCATCGCGTTATTCAGCACAGACCTGGCCCTTTGTGAAAGTGAGGCCAGGATCAGATTCTTGTGTTCTTTTAGCTGATGGTTGGTATTGCCAGAATAACCCTTACGTGTTGTACCTGGACTTCTGCGAGGCTTCTGGGTTGTTTTTTAGGTGGTTGCAATCGGATGACTCTCTCTGAAAATATTTGGCGTATCTATTCCAGTGACGCCCAAATTGGTCTGCCTTGTCTGTACTTGCAGGGTTTTAATGCAGGCTACAAAAGGCAAACCTCAGCTAGCAAACGATGGCTTTAGGCGAGGTTCTTTTGAATAGTTATCAGTGTATTATTTGCTGTGCATTGCATATGCATGTTGAAGCATATTTAAGGAGCCATTAAAAGCTGTAACGTTCAGCTGCCACTTTTCACCCTTAGGAAGGAGAGCTTCTACTTTTTAGTCTACTCTGAATGGTCAAAGAAAGAGTGTCAGTTCAGGAATAAAAATGCATAGTAGTAGTTATAGTTACCGTAGCAGTGATTCCGTGTTTAGTAATACTACCAGTACTCGGACTAGTCTCGATTCCAATGAAAATCTTCTCTCCGTTCACTGTGGTCCAACACTCGTCAACTCCTGTATCAGCTTCGGCAATGAATCCTTTGGTAGACAAAGGTATTGGTGGTCTGGGCTTATGTTTTACTTTTGGCAGGCAGCATTTTTCAGGAATGGTGAGCTCTTTGACTTCAAAAGAAGAAGATTTATTTCCTTTGTCTCCTCTTTTAGGTTGGAAATGTTGCAGCAGATTGCCAACCGAGTTCAGAGGGACAGCGTCATCTGTGAAGACAAACTGATTCTCGCCCGGAATGCTCTCCAGTCTGTAAGTTAATCTGGGCAGTCATCGAGGTTGTAGTAGAGGGGTCAGAGGGCATCTGGGTAAACCAAAATTTTGCATAAAGTTTCCTTGATTCCTGACATATGTTCTCCACTAAAAGTTTGTTAAAGAGTCTGGTTGGTGTGTGCTCTCTTGAGGGACAGTTAGCAAAAGGGAAAACATATTTTTGAACCAATAAGGAAAACTAAAGAAGGCACCAGTGGGCTTCTGTTCCATTCTTTGGAGTTTTATATTTGAGTCTAGTTTTGAAACTTATTTCACACAAGTCATGTTGAGTTCTTTTAAAACACAGGATTCTAAAAGATTGGAATCAGGAGTGCAGTTTCAGAATGAAGCAGAAATTGCTGGGTATATCCTCGAATGTGAGAACCTTTTACGCCAGCATGTAATTGATGTACAGATTCTTATTGATGGGAAATATTACCAGGCAGATCAATTGGTACAGAGGTAAGAGTGCCACTTATTCCTGCACAGTGTCCCTTGTGTAACTATTTCATAGGTATTTACAGTGGAAATGTAGAATGTGACAATTTTATGAAATACTTATATTTCTTAGCTCTTTTTAGGTGAAAATGTGTGTCACATCAATTCTGCTATATTTTGGCTTGTTAAATAGGCATTTGTTCTTCAATGATTAGTATTAGAAAAAATAGTTTAAGATTCGTAACATATTTATGGCTGCAGTAACTAACATACTCATTAAAATGAATACTTCAAATGTATGTTACATACATGTATTCATGCATACATTTACATACAAGTATTCACTTCAAATGAATGTATGTACACATATGTAATATACATACATTTTTTTTTAAAAGGAAAAAATCAGCAAAATGTCATTTTTATTTTGATTTTTCAGTTTCCTGTTTATGTTAATGAAAATGTTCATAACAAAATTTGGGGGAAAATATATGGATATAAAAATTTATATCTCTGAGCAGTGGGTTTGGGAGTAGGTACAGAACCTTTCAGGCTGTGGTCTCTCTCTCTCTCCCTCTCCCTCTCTCTCTCTCCCTCTCCCC